ACCATAGTTTTAAACTAACAGCTCCACACTTAAATATGTTATTTTGTTGCAGCGATTATCGGTTGTTTGGGGTTCTTTCGACAACCTTTAAATTTAGCGATATTTCAGAGAAGGGCACAGGCAACTATTACTTTTCCTGCTGAAGTCTACAGATAGAAGTTATTTGGTAGATCCGGACTGAATAATAAAGAAACACGCCCACGGTCAATTAATAGAAAACCTGTGATCCACAAATAGTGTGGCCAGACATGCATTTTTTAGTTGAAGCGGTGATTTTGTTATTCATTTGTACAATTTTGAATGACTTCTGGATTGAAGACAACGTCATATAGTTTTATTTCCAAAACAAAATGGAAATAAGACCTTATGGCCTTATTGCGTATGGTGTTATTGCACCCCACCTTTTAATAAATATAAGTGAGTTTCGAATAAAACAAACTTTTGTAAACAGGTTGCAAATATTCCGACTGGATTATCAGAAACCAAACCAACACATATGCACAGCCGACTTGAGATAAGTCTAGCATCTACATAAATAAATTTTCAGACAATTCTTACTGATAAGAAGATCCACACTAAAGCGCAGCTTAGCTCATTGCGTGGCATGATAGTAAGATGCTCATTTCATTCAGTCCGTGGCCAGTTGTTGGCGAAAGTAGAAGTATTTTTATTTCTAAGTTTTCTAATTTTTTGAAGTGTTTGTATTAAATCAAAAAAGTGCCAAGTAGAAATTAAAAGTGCCGTTACAACACAGAAGTGATCACATGCATACATTTCAACTTAAGCGTTTGTGATTTTCCAACTACACAAATACATACATATTAATTAAAACAGAGTAACAATGCAGCATTTAAGCCGCGTATCTACGCGCCAACTTGTCGCACTCACACATACAACCATAAAATCATGGCAAGCGCCACGTGTACTCATGCAAACACGTTGCTTAGCGACCGTGCCAGTGGGTGAGGTGTTATTTCCCTCGAAATCTGACTTTCCCAGCCGTCATATAGGGCCGCGTAAAACGGATGTGGTGTCAATGTTGGATACGCTGGGCTTTAAGGTACATATATATACATCCATATATATACATAAACATAAAAGTTAGTGAAGATCAGGAATAATCATAGAACACTGTTTCTTCTTACAACTAGTCCTTGGAGGAACTTACGAATAAGGCCGTTCCCAAGCGCATACAACTGAAGCGAGATTTGAACTTGGATAAACCGTTAAGTGAGTATTGCTCCTAACATAATCAGGGCTATCACTGAAACCATCGTAGTCTGATTTTTCGTGAAATCTACGTAAATGCTATCACTGAATCCGAATAGCTACGGACTTATGTATGTAGTATATACATATGTATTTACTTAGTATGCCTACGTACATCAATATGTATTTATGTACATACATACATACATATAGGCATTGTTTTGCTGTAATATCGTTATCTTGTTTGCAAATTTATTTTTGAGTGGACCCCCTGCTATGATTTTATACAATCACCCTGATAATAGCGCTTACTCCAGCCGTAATTAGACGCGTGGGTTTAGAGTTCAAAGTCGCTTATCAATTTTGATTTTATTGTTAAGCGAATGTGAAGACGCCATGTGTTATATTTGCTATACTTTTACGAGTTTTATACTGTATGTTAATTTCCTCGCAGAATTGCGAATTGACTCAAACAAGTGATCACGTGTCGATTTTGTCTTTTTTTTTTGTAATATACATACAATTTTTCGATTTAAATTCTCTTTGGTTATTTTTCTATGAAAATATTGTCCGAGCTTTTAGCAAAACCATACAAATCACAAATATTCATCAAAATCTCAACTTTTAAGTCTTCAAAGAGAAAAAAAAAACAATCGCACTGATTTTAAATAATTTTTTTTTTTTTCTGACGGATTTTTACTTTTTTTTGCATATAAGCATGCATTTCTTATGAAATGAAATGTGGTAGACCGTTCGCAGAAACATATTAAAATATCAACGCCAGTTTTCGTAAATTGCACTTGTATATAAAAAAAAAATCGCAAATGCCTTCACCAAAAAAAAATATTTATAATTAACGCGATTTTTTGGCCGCTTTAAACTTGCATACTCAAAAATGTTCTTATGATTCAGATTTATAAGTTTTTAGTTTTGAAAGAAAATTTCAGATTTTTTTCTAATTTTTGTATAAAGTTTGAAACTGTGATTTGTATAGTTTGGCTGAAGCTTTCTATAAACAAATACAAAAAATTAGCTGGAAAAACATTACGAAAATTTATAATACAAATATGTAGTCGAGACCTGCACTAGTAAGTAAAAGTTAATAATCGCCGAGTATGAATAGAAACGATGCGATTAGTTGAATTTAAATTTGATATCGTAGGCAAAGCATTGTTTTACTTAGCAGCAAGCGGATACTTTTTTCATATCATCATTTTCATATGACACGTTTACGATGAGGGATGTTCGATTTGAAATATGTGTCAAAATGAAAAACTTTAAAATTTATTGAAAAGTGTAAGCATTAGAAAGAAAAATTTTACAAAGTGCTAAATAAAATATTTCGCGAATATTTCGCGATAGGAGCAACAGGCTCCAGTGACGTATGGAAAACCTTTTAGCAAATTACAAATTCCTGCACGTCGGAATTTATAGGACATAAGAACAGATTTAGAAAGTTAAAGCTTGAATGCAATTTTATTTTATGTACGTTCTCAACACAATTGAGTAGTCCACTTGCAAACAGCGTTATGTGATTTTAAAATAGAAAGCCATAAATAATAAAAAACGACAACGACAACAAGTAACTTTTAAATTGATTATTTTTTTTATAACCTGCAAATTTTGATAAATAAGAGCCTAATAACATTATACCATAACACAACATGACATAACATAACATTAACAGTCTATACGACCTAAAGCAGATTTCTAAGTTCATCAGAAGATGGAGACTTTTAAGAAATTATAAATAAGTATGTAAGCGAATTTTGCAAGAGTAGTTAACATTCGATGCTATTTTTTCAGAATATAGAAAGATTTTGCACTGCGTTGTTAGTGGACATGAAACTACTTGAAATACTGGTACGTTACCCACCAAAAACTAAAAAACGAAAAAAATTTTACATAGCGCACTTTGCAAGTGAACTACTCAATTCTCTATAAATACAAAGTTCAATAGAATTTGTTTTCACAATTAATTAAATTATTACATTTTTTGATGTATTTCATTAATGGCGATGACTCAAACATGTGCATTTGTTGCATTTCGCTTAACTTTTTTCCCTCGTGACGCGTTTCCGGCGAAGCCTAAATAGTAATCATCTTATGCTACGATGTCGCATCGGCAGAATCGGCATCGTGCGAGCGATTATACGATTTCAAAAAAGCATCGCTGTAGATACTAATAAAAAGGTTACTAGTACTCATACTCATACGATGCCAGAATCACTCGTACAGGTCTCTGGTATATAGGTAGTTGTTTATAAATATTTTGAAGATAGTTACTACCAGTTTGAAAAGTCAAATTTAGTTCACTTATACACAATGGAATATTAAAAAATGTCAAACAAAAGAATGTTAAGAAATCTATAGTTTTATCATTAAAAATATTTTTGAGATGTTTATAGAGGGTTGACACCCGTTAAATGCAAATTATTTGATAAGCTAAATGAATTGTTGAAATATTGGTATCAATCGCAGTGGGTTTGAAAAGGCTTTATTTCTCAACTGGATATCAATCGAAATAGTTTTTAAAAGGCTTTACTTTTTAAATCAGTATATTTAAGAGAGTTGTCCACTGTTTAAAAAATCCAACTCAACTTAAATTAAGACAATTAAGTAACTGAAATTTGTATCAAAATTTCAGTGTCAGACGAAAGGATTGAATAAGATTTTATTTTGAAAATATTTTAAAGAGATTGCCACCTGAATGAAATGTCGAATTTACCTTTTCGGAAAGTCTTGTCGATCTAACTAAGTCGATATCGACGGCTGAGTGGAAGATCGAACTATCTCGGCACCCAGTTCGTAAAGACCCTATCTCAGAAAGTCCAAAGACCCGTTCCTCTTCCAAAGTTGAAATTAACTGACAGGATTGCAGCGCAAACAGCAATCGCCCCGTAACCTCCAGTAGTAGGATCACGACCCGGCGAATAGCGTCTTTTACGATAGCTGAAGAGCTCAGAGCCCAAATGATAGCCTGTGGTAGGGCCAAAGATTCATTAAAGCTCGCCATGGTCTGTCGTTAGTAGGAAACAACTCCTTGGATATTGGTCGGAATAGGAATCTAGCCTGGGTGCTACCGGGTGTTGGTAAGTACCTACTCAACTATGGTGGTTATAACTGAATTAGAGCTCTATTAGGTTATTCTTAGAGGTACGGACAGGCACCCTAGTGTACGCGACCAAAAATTATAACCAACTTTGTAGCGGCTATAAATGCATAGTCTTCACTGATCCATGTAATGATTACATAATACTCGCGCATCTCGCCTAACCCTTTCGCAAGATTACGTCCTGGCCGTCGTGAGTGTGGGCGGGTCTGCGATGGTTTTAATTAGCTTCACCTAACTCATAGAATTCACACATACATACATCGGTTTTG